ATAAGATCCAGAATCCGGAGGATGACCAAAAGTGGATATGCCTGCCCTTCTCTGAACTGAGCCAAAAATTGCGACCGTTGCAAAGACAATGGTGATATCAAAAACAATCGAATAACGATTTCCTTGCAAACTTCATACTACCTAATATTACGATGAAATCTTAGTAGCATTTATGAATATTGAATAAATGATAGAATCATAGTCATCATCTGTAGAAATTCTCAGTTAGCAAAAGTAATAATTAAAATGTAGGAAAAATATGTTAATAATTCAGATTTTTATATATTTTCATTGGAACACTCACAGTTTTCGACGCGATAGGCTACAAGATTTCTGCTCCACTGCCCCGCAGAAGTGTGAAATAAACCTTAAATTGCCCCTTTTAAGGCGAAATCCAGCCACTCAAACTTTAGAGGTAAATTTTGATGAACAGTTGGTGGAAGTTTTACGGGAAGTGCATTACCTGCTACTCTTAGGAAGTGCTCCAGGAAATGAAACTCCACGAGAGAGTGGAGGAATGTTAGGAACTGCTTCGCCTACTTCAAGTGAATTCCTCGAAAAGTTTGCTGGTTTTGGGTCCGTTGAAGATATAAAGCAAATGCTACCACCCCAAATATTAGCTGTACACGATCGAGCTGAACCTTTACGAGAAGCTCGACTCAAGCTCAATCAAATTGTTGAAGCCTACAACGCAGTTAGATTGAACACTCTAACAGTAGAATATCCATTAATTGCAGAAGAAGTAGATGCATTTGATGATCGTATATCACCGGCCTTCAAGCAAATGTCTTGGGAAGAAAGTGAGTAGCCTTAAACTTTATGTGTAAAAATTTAAATTTAATTTGGGTTTTAAAATCTGGTAAACGAGTTCATAAAATAAAATAGGAAAATTCTGCCTCTGCATAAAATATCTTATAGGTAATCTAGCGAATTTTCTAGATATTATTATTGTATAGCAGAGTCATCTTTTCCATGGAATAGGTATGGTTTTCGATGAGTATCTATACTCCTGTATAAAATAGTCAGAAGGTAGTTTAATTTTATAAATTAATATATTTGAAAGATTTAAATTCGAAGTAAATGCTTGACCTTGTTACCAATAATCAAGCCTATCTGTTAAATATTTTTCTTTATATTGTGCGGTTGAATAATAAAACCAATCGGCCAAAACGATTATAGATATTTTATCTTCATATTCATTTAGGCTGAAAATTATTTATCTAATAACCTTTAAAACAATGAAAGATAACTTTTGCTGTCCTTTCTAAAAATTATTTTAAAATTAATATTTGTTGACATATCACCTACATTTTATAAAATTTTCGAAACCCGGATTAAGTGTAATGTAATATATTACTTACAATAAATTATTACCGATGAGTAGACTCAACTATTCATGGTGACTTGGAGTATAAGGTAAAATTGACTCAATGATATTTGTAATTCATGTCTTCCCCATAGAAATAAATAAGCCATTTTTTACCCACCCTAATCTTTTTAACCAAGCAAGACATTCATAGAAGGATTATGGATGACCCTCGATCGAATCGACTCAATATATACATATATTTATACATATGCTTTTATCTATCTCTAACTATATCGCTATATATCTTATTGATCTATATCACAAAATGTATCTATCTTCCTGAGTTATACCTTTTCTATACTATGCAAAATTTAATTTTTTTATAAGGACTTCGAAAGACCCTTAAGCCCTTAAGCTTATAAATATTATGCGGGCTAAAATTTTATTTGGAAGACCTTTATCGATTAAATAAATTTACTGAAAAAATATTCGATTTGAGTTTATCTATTCACTTTCATGATGTGCTTTATGTTCTAAATGCTGACTTGTTTTGTCTTTACCTTCATCAGCCACTAAGTTAAATACTTCAAAGAATTCATTTTGGCCAAGATTAGCTTAATTATTGAGATAATTTGTCGATTATCGGCAATTAATTTTTTAGCTAAAACTAGTTTATTTAAATATTTATTTAGGTATACAATATAAATATACCAATTCAGACCGATTTTGATACATACCTCTTTTAATATTGTTCAGAATTCTGCTAAATTAATTAAATATTTATAAGGCTTGTAGGAATCAAGTAAGATAATTTTACACTTATTTTCTTACGAACCACTGTTATTCTAGTATGCATTAAAAAATAATGATTCCAAATTTATTAGGTTCATATTAAAGTACGTTACTTCTTGCATCCTGCTATAATGCACTCACCTGCAATTTTATAACCTTCAAAGTTTTATTTATTAGCATAGAACGAACTAAATTTTCTAGATAATTATAGATAGCATTGCCAATTGAGCAATAAATTAGAAACAGACCTACTTTTTTTCTCATAGGCCAGAAGAACTAAAAAGTAGGATTCGTCTGGACCTTAAAATGAATCATGTAAGAAATTCTAAAGCACTAATATTTTAAAAAATTAGGGCAGCAAGACAAATACTTGAAAAAAAACAAAAACAAAATAGATCAATAGAAGTGGGTTGACCTCGTTGTCGCAACTTGGTCTTGTGTTCAGGGAGACTATGTAGAACGCACC